CACACACACACACACACACACACACACACACACACACACACACACACACTCTTAGCAGGTCCTAGGAGGGATTTCAGGTGTTTGGCAGATGTCTGATTCTGATTATTTTTCATGTTGAAACGTGATCACGTTGATCTCGGCGGATACACAAACACACCCAAGATACTCAAAAGATTCATTTTTTATAAAATCAAATATTGTCATTTCTGTTAAAAAGAAGTAAACACGACAATGAACCTGAGCACGTGTGTTTTGTTTGTTTCTCATTTACAACATCTCATTTTGGCTCCAAATGAGATCACGATTCACTGACTAAACTTAGCTGAGATCATGTTTCCTGCTATACTAATAAAAGTCTCAAAGGTCGAGCAAGCAGCAGGCTCATTTACTCGCAGACACCAGGACAAGAGGAGACGCCCTCTACTGGCCACATTTTTCAGCACAGACCTCACTTTGCAGACCATGAAGCTCTGGCCTGGTGTTCATAGCACAAGAAAAGTGCTGCAAATAGACAAGACTTTGTTCTGTTTTGTGTCTGTCACCATTCAATATTAGTTTGCTGGTTTTTGCGCTTTTGCATTCAGTCATCAATATAAAGACAGAGACGATGATTTTATCACAGATTTATCATCAGAATCAAAGCTGTAGTCTCTGTAACTCTGAGAGTCAGCTTAAATCAGCCTGATCAGTGTAAAGCTTTAAACAGAGCATGCCGATCATTCATCAGTCACAGTAATGAAAATTGTGTTTCACAGTTGGATCTTGGAGATGATGTAAATATCTGAGTGAAGATGAGGCTGAAATCACTCGTAAACTGAACAAAATAATAAATAAATAAATAAATAAATAAATAAATAAAGGTGCCAACTGGAACCAAAAGTGGTTCTTTAGACTGATGCCATAGAAGAACCTTTTTTGGTGCCACAAAGAACCATCAAGAAATGGTTCTTTGGGGCACCTTTAATGGTTTTTCAATGAACCTTTTTTAAAATGGTTCTTTAAAGAACCATTTTAAATCTTTCAAAATAAAATGCATCATAAATTGAATTTTAGTAGGGTAAAATAAATACGAGCACAGCATAGACATATATTAATGGTTTATTGTCATTTTGTAGTTACCAAAAGACAAAAAGGCATTTTAACCCTCAGCACAGCATCACTACTAATACATGTCACATTAGTGTTTTAAACAGTAGTACCGTATTTCCCGGACTACAGAGCGCACCTGAATATTAGCCGCACAAGCTAAAATCAGGGGAAAATCCTGTTTTGTACATACATTAGCCGCGCCTGACTAAAAGCCGCAGGTGTTTCAATGTTGACTTATCATATGTAAGAGAATATGCACAAAGGGAATTGTCAGGAAAGAGATGGCTGTTTGGAGACATCACTTTTATTAATATTTTGAAATATATATATTTTGAACTGATCAAAATGTATATGCCCTTAAATGCTAAATGATTATGGGTACATATTTGCACAACTTTTATGGTATATGTACAAGTAGCGGTAATTACAAGTACGAAACATGTACTGTGCTTCATAAATGAGTAACAAATGTAGTACATAACAATAACCT